CTGTGACTTTGGAAGTCCTGTTCTCAGGTCTGAGCTGGAGCTGAACAAGCTCCAAAGTCCAACTTGGACCCAGGCCTGTTCAGGACCCAGCTCCCTTGCCAGTGAGGCCAGAGGCGTTGTGCCCGCCCCCCCCCCTTACCAGGCTTCTTCTTCCTCAGCTGACCAGAGGCCTTCCCTTTGCCTGAGGGGCAGAGCTTTTTCGGAGCTGGCTCTGAGTCTGGGGTTACTGGTGGTAGCTTCAGTTTATTTTGTTCCCTTGCTTCTTTCACGGGCACCATCTGTCTCATGGGAAAGTCATATACAAACACTATAAGAGGCATTTCTCTGGTGTGTCAAATGTATAAAATATCTTCACCTGCAGTATTTTAATGAACATTCTCTCTACAACTCTGGGGTAATATATGACCGGTACCTCAATGGTGAGGAACCTGGGCAGTTAGAAGGAAACGGAACGGCCTAAATGAGGGTGTTTTGAGGACTAGAACACTTGGCTCCTTGCTATTTCCAGACTCATGTTCTGACAAATAGCAGAAGTCTCCATGTAAGCGTGAGTGTGGTATAAAGAACATTTTCAGAAAAACAGCATTGTAAAAATCCATGAGGTCTATGAAAGCAATGAAGAGCTTCTAACCAATAAAGGTGACCATATATAAAAGAGTAGACACCTGCTGGGATAGTAAATGTAGTTTTCTCACAGAAAAGAAAACCATCAACATATACATATTTGCAATATGTATGCCTGATAAGGGCTTAATTTCTAAAATATATAAAGAACTCATACAAGTTAACAAAAGGAAGACAAACAATACAATTTAAAAATGAACCCAGCCAGCGTGGCTCAGTGGTTGAGTGTTGACCTATGAACCAGAAGGTCAAGGTTTGATTCCCAGTCAGGGCACATGCCCAGGTTGCGGGCTCAATCCTCAGTGTGGGGTGTGCAGGAGACAGCGGATCAGTGATTCTCTCTCATCATCGATGTTCCTATCTCTGTCTCGCTCTACCTTCCTCTCTGAAATCAATAAAATATATTTTCTAAATAAGCCAAAGCACATAAAGACACACTTCTTCATAGAGGATATACAGAAGGCCAAGAGACATATGAAAAAATGCTCAGTCAGTAATCATAAGAGGGATGTAAATTAAAATGACAATGAGTTTTCACCTCACACTTGCCAGAATGGCTGCCATCAAAAAATTCAACTAACAACAAGTGTTGGTGAGGATGTGGAGAAAAGGGAACCCTAGTACACTGCTGGTTGGAATGCAGACTGGTGCAGACACTATGAAAAACAGTATGGAGTTTCCTCAAAAATTAAAAATGGAACTGCCAGTGACCCCACTTCTAGGAATATACCCTAAGAATTCTGAAACTCCAATCAGAAAGAATGTTTGCACTCCTATGTTCATAGTAGCATTATTTACAATAGCTAAGATCTGGTAACAGCCCAAGTGCCCACCAGCAAGTTAGTGGATAAGAAAGAAAAAGATCTGTGGTACATTTACACAATGGAATATTATGTCACTGTGAAAAATAAGAATCTCTTACCCTTTGAGACTGCATTGAGAAACTTGTAGACTGTTATGCTAAGCGAAATAAACCAGTCAGAGAAAGACAAGTATCACACAATCTCCTTTATATGTGAACTCTAATGAACAAAATAAATTGACTCACAAAATAGATCCAGAGACATGGAAGCATGGCACACACTGAGGAATCCCAGTGGGAAGGGGGTGAGTAGTGATTAAAGGAGAAATTATATGCATGTATGTATAGCCTATGGACATAGACAATAGTGCAGTGAAGGCCTAGGAAGATGGTATTAAGGTGGAGGGGATCATTGAGGGGGGAGAAAGGGGGGACATCTGTAATCATTTCTACAATAAAGGTAAAAATTTAAAGTGTTTGGAGGGGAAAAAACTGCTTGAAAATGGTGTGGGGAGGTTAATATTGGGGGGGATGAAAGGAATGCTACACAGAAATGATGATACACAGACAGGAATGCTGTGCCAGATGTGACATACTGGCCTACCCTGGCACCAGCATTTACTGGTATAGAGGAATTAGGGAGGTGGCTCCCACCTCACCTCTGCTGCTGTCAGGTGGTGTCATGACCATCAGCTTTCATGTACTTTTCATCAGGCTCCTTCCTTTAGGAAAGAGTGAATAAGAAATGTAAAACAAGGGAAGTGAAAGTGGTTTGTGTGGAATCAATGGAAATGAATACTTTCTCTTGTGATCTTTCAATTCCCTTCTCAACTGTCTCCAGACTGGCAACCCAACCCCTAGATCCCTTTACCATCTCAACTAGCTTCATCTGCAATTGTGGACTCAAGTATTCAATACAAATTTAGGCACCTCTGAGGCTCTCTGGGCTGGGATTGAGGCTTCAGAGTTGCCTCAGGCCCAGATAAGGCCTGAAGGAGCTCA